AAATTTATAAAAAAAAAATAAAGAAAAATATTATTATTACTAATATTATGGAACCGTGCGCGCGCAAATCGGCAGGTCCGAAAACCATTTCTTTGCCACTCAATGACATTATTGGTGGCTAATTGTCGATCCCTCAAGAGTGAGGATCGTTTTCCCAGAAGGGGCACTGTTTATTGGACAACACGTTTCTGTACTCTGAACCATCAAAAAAATTAATTATTTTAAATTTTTGGCCGAATACATCTTTAGCCTGCACGAAAACACAGCGAATACTTTTTTGCTCGACCTTTTCAAGACCCCTTCAATGACACCGAAATAATTCATTATTTTGGAATCTGGAAAAACGGTCCAAAATAGGAACATTTTTTGGGATTTTCATTTTGCGGTCCCAGTTGTGATTCCATGTCGCAATCCCATGACGGTCCCTCGATTCTCCCCTGGTTCCGTTCCCCCTACATCCGTCCCAAGCCCTTGCGAGTTATTGCTATATTGCCTTTGCTTGCCGAGCTTGTGCGCTATTGTCTCTGTGCTCTTTCAAACGCACCTCTGCGAGACTGCCCACTTGCTGCGCCCGCCTTCTACCGCATACGCTGTGCTTACTTCCTTAATGGGGAGCTTCTTTGGGACGCGGCTTTCGGTAGCAACTTTGGAGAGCAGCTTTGGGGAATGACTGTGGGGAGCAACTTTGCGGCTTTGCAGCAGCATTGACGAATAGTTTTTGAAGAACGACAGCTTTGGGGAGTAGCTTTAGGAAGCAGCTTTGGGAAGCAGCTTTCGGCAACAACTTTAGGGGGGAGCTTTAGAAGCTTTGGGGAGCAGCTGTTCGGAGCAGCTTTCGATAACAACTTTGGGACGCGGCTTTGGGGAACAGCTTTGTGGAGCAGCTTTGGGAAGCAGAAGCAGCTTGGAGGAGTAGCTTTGCGCGGCAACTTGGAACAGAAGCTTTGAAAAAGCGCAATTTTGTGGGGCAGCTCTGAGGACTAGCCTAAGAACGCGACTTTGGGGAGCAATTTTCGGTGCCGCTTTGGAGAGTAGCTCTGGGGAGTCGCTTTGGGGAACAGGTTTGAAACATAGCCGCTCTGGGGCAACCGCTTTGCAGAGATACTTTGGGGAATAGCTTTGGGAAACTGCTTGTTCGGAACAACTTTATGACAACTTCGGAGAGCAGCTTTCGGTAGCAACTCTGGGGCGCAGCTTTCGGGAGCCGCTTTGCAGAATAGCTTTGGGGAGCCATTTTGACGAACAGATTTACAGAATCGCAGCTTTGGGGTAACAGCTTTGGACAGCTTTGGGGAATAGCTTTGGGGAGCAGCGCCGGGGAATAATTTTGGGGAGCAGCTTTCCGGCCCATCCGGAAGCAGGAGTAGCTTTTAGGAGCAATTTTGCGCGGCAGCTTCGAACAAAAAATTTGAAAAATCGCAGCTTTTAGGAGCAATTTTGGGGACTAGCATTAGAATACAATTTTTGGGGGCAATTTTCGGTAGTAATTTTGGGGAGCAGCTTTCGGGAGCCGTTTTGGAGATTAGCTTTGGGCAATTAATTTGCGGAACAGGCTTGAGGCATAACAACTTTGGGATATTCGCTTTATAACAGTGCTTTGGGAACAGCTTTGGGCAGCAGTTACGGGGAACCGGTTTGGGGAGCAGCTTTGTGGAGCAGGTTTGAGAAACACTTTTGGAAACCAGGAGCATCTTTGAACAAATTTGTACAATAGCTATGAAAAACCGTACTTTTGGGTAGTAGCTTTGGGAATTAGCTTTAAAATGTAATTTTGGGGAGCAGCTTTTGGTAGTAATTATGAGGAATGATTTTGGAAAATAGTTTTGGGGAATTGAATAATAATTATCAAAATTATTTTTTTTTTCAA